CATCAAAAAATTTCTGGCTTAGTTTAACCATCTGAAATAAAAATAACAATTTGGGTAGGATATTCATCTTAATAGTCGCTATCCTTCCTAGTAATGATAATTGAAAGTTTTTCCACGTCTCCAAATCCATTTTTATTTGATTCAGTAATCTTCCATAGTTATCTTCTTTTATTGTTATACATTTTGATGTTAAATAAATACCTAAGTATTTAACTTTTTTTTAACTATCTGGAGATTTGTTTTTTCCACAAATTGAGCTTTCTGTTTTTCTATTAAATTTCTTGTAAGTACTTTAGTCTTTTCCCTATTTATTTTCAACCCAGCCACTTCTCCAAATTCCTCTATTTTCTGCAATAATTTAGTGGCTGTTTCCAAAGGCTCCTCCAAAATAAAAACCAAATCATCTGCAAAAGCTTGTAATTTATATTTCTGATCTTTTATCTCCAGTCCTTTGATCTCCCCATCTTGTCTACTATTCCTGGCCAACACTTCCAGTGTAAGAATAAATAACAAGGGAGACAGTGGACATCCCTGTCTTGTACTCTTCCTAATCTCAAAATTATCTGTATAGTCTCCATTTATAAATATCTTTGCTGATTGGTCCTTGTAAATTGCTTGAATTGCATTTATAAAACTTTCACCGAAGTTCATCACTTGCAATTGATGAAACATAAATTGCCAGTAAAGATTATCAAAAGCTTTTTGTGCATCCAAAAATATCAATGCCATTTGTTTCCCCGGATGTTTTTCATAGTATTTTAACACATTTAAAATAATTCTTAAGTTATTCTTTATCTGTCTTTTAGGCAAAAAGCCATTTTGATCTGAATGAATAAATTCATTCAAAAATTTCTTCATTCTTTCCTCTATTATTGCTGTAAATATTTTGTAGTCCACATTTAATAGTGATATTGGCTTATAGTTTTTAATTTGTGTGAGATCAGTATCATCTTTGGGAATCAGAAAAATGTTAGCTTCTGTCCAGGATTTTGGTATTTTCATCCCCAAAAAAGTTTCATTACAAAGATCTTTCAGTATCGGACTTATTATATCTTGTAAAGCTACATAAAATTCCTCTGGTAAACCATCAGGTCCCGGAGTTTTATCTTTTTTTTGTCTTTTTATAGCCTCAGTAATTTCCATCATTGTTATTTTCTCGTTCAACATATGTTGCATGTTCTCTGGTATCTTTGGAAGGTTTGCTTTTCTTAGATATTCCTGTATTGCCTCCTTGGAAATCATCTCCACCTTATAAAGTGTCTCATAGTAAGTTTTAGCAATTTTTTTCAATGCATCATTATGACAATGTATTTCGCCTTTTGAGTCTTGCAAATTACTTATCAATTTTTTTTCTCTTTCTTTTTTCAGTCTATATGCAAGCCATCTTCCTGGTTTATTGGCATTTTCAAAGAAATTCTGTTTTGAATATTTTATCTGTTGTGCCCTTGTTTCCATCTCCAATAAATTTAGTTTGTGTTTTATTAATTCCATTTGTGTCTTAAGCTTCTTCTTTTGTGGATCATTTTGTAACTCAAGTTCTAAATTCCTGAATTGTCCTTTCAAGTTAAGTTGTGTCTGTCTCTTTTCTTTATTCTTTTTAGCAAGGTAAGTTATAGCCAAGCCTCTAAAATACGCTTTCGCAGTGTCCCAAAGATTTTGAATCGAAGTTTCTTTTTTTTATTTATTTGAAAAAAGATTTCCATTTCTTTCGTTGCCCGTTTTAAAAAATCTTTTTCTTTTAATATTGATTTATTCAATGACCATCTTAATTTTTTTTCTAGTTCCTTTCAAAGTCATTTTAATTGGATTATGATCAGCCCAAACATTAGGTTCAATTTCCACCTCTCGTATCATAGTCTTTAAACCATATGAGATCCATATCATGTCAATTCTTGACCAGGATTTATGCCTATTTGAATAAAATGTATATTGTCTTTTCTCTGGATTCATTTCTCTCCATATGTCTTTCATCTTTAAAAAAGACTTAGGTAGGGTATTTCCCCCCTTTTCCCTTGTTTATAGCTTTTATAATCCTGTATTGCATCAACTATTACATTAAAGTCACCAAGTATGCAAAGATTTTGATAATTTAACTCCACTAATTTATCATATAATTGTTGAAAGAACTGATCTTGTTTCTCATTGGGAGCATATATTGCAACCATCAAAATTTGTTTTTGATCGACTTCCGATTCTGGAACGCGGCGACGCCGGTTGCGCCTGGAAATTTCTTGCCAGGCCATCCAGAGTTTCCTTCGCCGGTAGACCCCCTAGGGGGCTGAAAGTCACCCTGGAGGGATGACCACCGAGGAGGAGGCCGGCTGGTAGATAGGGGAGGGCAGCAGTTTCCCCTGAATCTCCAGCTTCTCCTTAGGGCTGACGGAGCAAAGATCAGCCTGTAAGATGGCTGATCACCCTGCTGCACCAGTCGAAAGTCACATCGTCATCTAAGCGTTAACGACCCACTGCAGATGATACGGGTGTGACCCCTTTTGTTCCTCTCCATACCTCTGCTGTTTTTGCCTGTAGAAGCTGTTTGTGCTATTATTTCCCCATCTAGAGAAAGCGGCTTTAGTAATTGTGGGAACAAACGTGTTTTACAAAAAGGATAGAAAAATATTCTTTAAATATTTTTTTTGTGTTTTTTGGAGTGTTATTATATCAGCAGAGTATTTCTTTTTCTATTCTCCCTTTAAAAGATAGAAAAAAGGAAAAAAATGGCATTTGAAGAAGTTGTTTTAGCTCACTGAGGACACCTACTGGTCAAAAGTTAATACTAGCTTGTTGTTTATTTGGAGATAATGTTCAACTGTAACCTTCAATAAAGGAAAAGGATTCTTCTTCAACTATTGCTAAAATGGAGAAGCCTCAATCACACTTAAACTGTAAACCTATACTGGAAAAGATCTATGAGGCTAAAGAAGAAATATGTACTACAATAAAAGAGGCTACTACAGAATCTCTATTTTAAAACTTAAAACTGACTCCCAGACTACACTTGACTGCTCTACAGAACAGATTATACAAGAAGAGGTTTTAACTTAGGATAAGGAGAATCTTATTTTGCCTTACAAGCAAGACCATGAAAAGCAAACACTGAACTTTGGACTTCTGAAGCAACGAGGCTTTATGGACAAGAGAAACAGAGGATTAAATCAGAGATCAAGATGTCAGTATCGAATCAAGTGACACTAAAAGCAACAAAAAGAGACCTACTATCTGGAAGGGAAGCCCTGTTATGGAAACCTACCTGGCAAAAGAGGAAAGCTAGAATAAGATTGAAAAATGAAATTTAAAATTTCTTAAATTGGATTAAAGGCAACCTAGAACTATGGACTGATGTAAGGACTGAGATTTTTAGTTTGAAGTAAAAAGATGTCTTAGAGTTGGTAATAGTAATAGTAGTAAAGTTGGAAGGGACCTTGGAGGTCATCTAGTCCAACCCCCTGCTCAGGCAGGAAACCCTACACCATTTCGGACAAATGGAGTGAATTGTTGGAGTGAATCAATAATTAATTGAATGTTAATTAAATAAGATGACTTGTTTGTCTTTACTTAAAGGATTGAAATGACTTTACTTAAAGGATTGAAATGATTTAAGGCCCTGCACCATCTTTTGGGCCTTTTTAGCACCCTTGCCTCCTATTTACACCAATGGGTGTTTCAGGACTGATGGATCAGAAGCTATAAAGGCATGATCCTGTCCAGGGTCTTGCCTGCTTTCTGATTCTATTTGTGAAAAAACCCTCCACATGGGGTTGTCCATTTGTGACAAAAACTTCCACAGGGCTATGCAGCAGAATCCCTAGGATATCTTCCAGTTCCTTCTTAAACCCAAGTAGATCCATCTGTTGCCAAGGATGAACTATTTATATAGGTCCTACCAATGCTCACCAGAAGGGGTGAGCATTGGAAATTCTCACAGCCACCAGGATGTGGTCTTGCCATGACAGGGGATAATGACAGATCCCCACAGCAGATGACATTACTATTGCTCTGATAAGAAAATCATATCCAGAATGATCTCATCAGCTGGCATTTAGAACCATTGTGTGCCTCCCATTCAAGTGCTAGGTATTCTGTTCGGCATGACTATGGAATGTGCTGTTCTACACAGTCATCACACTTGATTGAATTTCCTAGAAAGAGACCATTATATAAGATTGGATATTAGCATGTATTGAACTTTTGATGGAATTTATTTGGATTATTTTTGTGCCAGAAATTTCATTGGCCTTTGCTACTGAGGAGAAGGTATATATATATATATATCCAGCTGGAAGATCTTTTGAATTTAGCCCATTTCTCTTAGGTAATTTCCTACACATTGTGATCTAGAAAACTGACAATGTTTGCTTGCTTCAGAAACAATTCACAAGCCCTAACTTTTTAAATGAAAAAGTCATTTGTAGTTAAGTCCACTTCTTTTTCACATTCTAGTCTGTATATGAATTAAGATGACCACTCAAGACCAATTGACAATTCATATTTAATCTATATATTTAGTCAGAGCTTTCATCACACAACAAAATATGTATATAAATCAATTTGCACTATTTTGTGTGTATCTGTCTATCTCGTTCAGCCAGGCCATGCAATAGTTACCCCAAAGATTCTTTTTCATGCAAGATGCTTCTTCGGCTCTGACTAGATGGTGGGAACAGAAAGATTTATACTCCTTGCAGACAGCTGGTCATTTGCATTCTTTTAGACAGTCATTGAGGCCACCTGGAGGTTTATCTGTGTCATCAGGGTCACCTGAATAGTGCAAAGTATTCCAGTTGTTTTGTGAAAAAGCACTTTGGGATATTTATTTATCTGTATGCTTTTATGGTCCCAATTTCCTGAAGGAAAAAGTGTTCTGAGCTATATAAATCTCAAGGGACAGGGCAATATAGAAGGCCAATCTTACTGCAATGGTTCTCTGGTTTAAATTTGCTAGTGTTGAAGATCTCCAACATCTACATATAAAGGATATATCAGGAAAATGGAAAGAGTTGTTAAAACTTTCTTTTCATGAGCTGATGTTTATCATTCAGTTCGGGTCTCATCACAATGATAAAACACTTGGGAAGGAAGATGCATACCAATAAGCCAGCACTGGAGGAGATCATGGAGAAGATCTCCACAGCCAAGGTATATTTTCCCCTTGTACTTAGATAGGTTGGAATAAAGCACAGCCAAACACTGCAGAAGACCAACATGCTGAAAGTGATGAATTTGGCTTCATTGAAACTATCAGGTAACTTCCTAGCTAGAAAAGCAGCAGAGAAGCTAACAAGAGCAAGAAACCCCATAAAGCCCAAAACACAATAGAACATGACTGAGTCTTCATTGCACTCCATGATGAGTTCTTCAGACACTGAATGGGCATCAAAATCCGGGTATGGTGGGGACGCTATCAGCCACACAGCACAAACACACATTTGAACAAGGGAACAGGATAGAAGAATAAAACTGACCATTCTTCCCCCCACCCATTTCCTCAATCTGGAACCAGGTTTGGTGGCCATGAATGCTAGAACCACAACAAAGGTTTTGGCCAAGACACAAGAAACTGCCACAGAAAAGATGAGGCCAAAAGCTGGTTGCCGAAGGAGACACACAATTGTGTTAGGTCTCCCAAGAAACAGAAACACGCAAAGGAAAGAGAGGAGGAGGGAAACTAGGAGGATGTAGGTGAGATTCCGGTTATTGGCTTTGACAATGGGAGTGTCTGTGTGTTTCATGAAGATTGTGATTACCAAAGTTGTCATTAAAGAAAAGCAAAGAGAAAGAACGGTCAGACTGATTCCCAAGGGTTCTTCATAGGACAAAATGGTGATCCGCTTTGGAATGCACATATTTTTGTCAGGATTTGGATATTGATCTTCTGGACATGGAGAACAGTCATCTACATCTGAAAAAGAACACAGTGGAATTGATACAGTGGATTATTCACAGTGTTGTACCCTCCTGGTTTAGTCCCATTATATTTGGAAAATTCCTACCCTTCTTTGTTGATATTTTCCCCTCTGGACACAGACGGCAAGCATAGCAGCAAAAAGACTCCCCTTCTATCTTTTCCTTGCTGTATCCTGTCTCACAAGGACCATTACACAAAGATAGAGGTAATGCCTACCAATGAATGAAGAAGAATATTTTAAGATACACAGAGGGAAAGAATTGCTTGGAGAGCTACTGTTACAGTGGAATCACTAGCATAAAAATGGGTTTATGTACTAAGTAATTCAGTACAGAAGTAAAGCAATGACATCATTTTAGATGTAATTGGTCTGAAATTACAACTCATTAAATATCTACCCTTATTGGTATTTATGGACTTCTATTATCATCATCACCACTCTCCGAAAAGAATTTTTGTTCTGGTTAGATATCAATTGTTTTCTCAGCTTCTGAATTTTGAAGTCACCAGACTCATGAAATCTAGTACAGTGGATTGTAGCTTTTACTTTAAAACCCCAAAAATATTGTCCTTAATTAACAGAGGACCAAGGTAAAGGGTACAATATTTTAGATCAACTACAGGTAATCCCGAAGTTATGAGTGTTCACTTACTGCTTCTTTGAAGGTACGCAATAAGCGCCCCCTAGTGTTAACCAGCACGTCCCGAAATTATAAATATTGCAGCACCACGGCAGTTGTATGTCCTTATGAGCAATGGCACTGCAACATTTACCCTGGTTATTTCCTCCCTCCCCACCCTCGCTCCAAGTCTCCCTAGGCACCAGTCCATCAATACTCACCCTGCAAAGATCGAAATCCCTCACTTTCTTGGCTGTTCCAGGCCTTTGGTGCATTCATAGAAAATGGAAGCCTAAAGTAATGCAAGATCACACAACATCTGTGGGGTGAGATCTCACACTACTGATCTAACATGATCTCATGTTATTTTAGCCTGTGTTCACTGCAAGAGAGAATGGAACCAAAGCCGGAGGACGCTTCTGTGGCCCACCAGTGGCTCAATCCAGGCACCGGAGGCCTTTTCCAGGCCACAGATTCCTGGATCTGAGGCCTTTTCCAGGCCACAGCTTCCTGGATCTGAGGCCAGGGGAAGCTTCTGCAGCCCTCTGATGGCCCGATCCAGGCACCAGACACCTTCTCCATGCTGCTGCCACCCAGATCTGAGATCAGGGATGCTTCCACAGCCCTCCAATGGCCCAGTCCAGATGCTGGCTGACCTCTCCAGGCCGCTGCTGTCTGGATCTGAGGCTGGGGGGTGCTTCTGCAGCCCTCCGGTGGTCTGATCCGGGAACCGGACACCTTCTCCAGACCAGTCAAACATGGATCTGAGGCTGCGGGATATCTCATGTTCACTTAATGAGCTGTGTGCATTTTAATAAGCAAGGGAGTGATCTCATTTGAGAAACGAGATTACTTCCATGAGTTTTTGAGTTATGAGTGGAATGGGCAGGCTCCATTACACTCGTAACTCAATGATTACCTGTATTACAAAAGTAATCATTCTTACAGATATTTTTTCCTTCCATAGAACATTTGTATTTAGGCTAGTTCAGAGATTATTCTCTTTGAACAATAAACATATTTTTATGCTAAACATATAAAGGAAGGAAGACCAATCTAGATTGAAAGAGCTAACCTGATTAAAGCCTACTGGCCACGTGATGGAATCTACAGAAATATTGAAGAACTCTGGAGCTGTGGGATCTATCGTCCCAACTTTGACCCTAACAAAGGATTGGTTTGGGAATGAGATCCAGTTGATAATATCATATCCACCAATGAGTTCTCCATTTTCATTAAAGGAGATCTTCTCACCAACACTGTTGTTGAATTTGACTCTTCTCAGAAAAGAATGAACCTTAAATACAGAGACAGCCAGAGAGGGAGAAGGAGATAAAAGGGCAGAGGAAAGAGAAAAACCGTATATATTCAAAACATACATAAGGATGTTTCTTGAAACAAAGAAAATATAAACAATCTTTTTTTTTTAAAAAAACCTTCAGTTGTAGGCCAGTATCAAACAGATAATATAGCCACCATTCCAACATAGAAGTAAAGGCAAAATATCAGATTACTAAAATAAAATTAACATATAATTGTAAAAAAAACCCCAGCAATATTTATTTAAAACTATTGTAGTTTAATTGCTTATGGCTCATAAGCCAGATGACTACTAATAAATATATAAGAAATACTAGGATGTATACGGCTATAAAAATTAATTCTAATCTTATAATGAGCTGTAAGGACCCAGCCCACTTTGAATCTTAAGAAGACAGAACTCTTGGAATAATTCTTCCAACAGGCATCCTTTATTAAGAGAAAATGGTTTCAGGCATTCTAGACAGGACTTGGGGTCCAAGCTCTCCCATTCAAGGTTTTAAGGGGTTCCCCAGTAGCTCCACCCAATCATCCCCCTCTTCCAGCGACAGTCTCAGGCATTACATTCCCACCCCCTTTTTCTTACTGCTGGCTGGATGGAGACTTGAAAGAAAACTACATGAAAGGTAAAAGTCCCATTCTTATGGTTAGCTCTTTTGGCAATACACACAACCAGTTCCTTTGAAGTGTACTGAAGGAAGTGAGGGCCATAAAGCCCCTTTGTTCACCCCCTTCCCTTCATCATATGGCAGAATCCATAGAAGGCAGAAATGGGGTTTTTTATAATTGATAACTAGAGATGAAATATAATTGGATTCTGACATCCTGTCCCTCAAAAATACGACAGATCCACCTGAAAGAAAACAAAACAGGTATAGAAGTTAGTTAGGCTTGTTAGGGTATTCTGTGTGAAACTTCTTCAATAGCTTCGGGGCTCTGACATGACGTTTATGGACCCACTCATTTTGTGAGGGAGAGAGGTGTTTCCAGGCAACTAGGTACTGAGTCGCTCCATGATATCTCCTAGAATCAAGGATTTCCTTTATTTCGAAGTGTTGTTCGCCCTCTACCATGATTGGAGGTGGTGGTAGGGGGATTTTTGGCCGTAGATGTGACTGACGCTCTCTTTTCAGCAAGCTGCAATGAAAAATTGGGTATATTTGCCTGAGATTTTTTGGTAATTCTAATTCTACTGTTACTGGGTTTATGATTCTTTTAATTGGAAAAGGTCCTATATATTTTGGTCCAAGTTTTTTACAGGGCTGTAGGGACTTTAGATATTTTGTAGATAGGTACACCATTTCACCTATAATGAATGGTGTAGGCTCAACCCTTTTTTTATCGGCTTGTGCTTTGTATGCCTGCCTAGCTTCATCTAGTGTTTTTCTAACTATTGGCCAGGTGTCTTGTAATTGTTCCATCCATTCTTTCAGTGATGGGATTGTTGGTTTGTTTGGAGTTAATTCTGGCATGGGGTTGAAACTTTGACCATTGGCTATTTGAAAAGAAGTGTAGCCTGTGCTGGAGTGGACTGCATTATTGTAGGCAACTTCTGCAAAAGGATGTAAGTCTGTCCAATCACTTTGTTGGAAATTCAAAAAATATCTCAAATATTGCTCAAATACTGAATGACAACATTCTGTTTGTCCATCTGTCTGAGGGTGGTGGCTAGATGTCAGTCCCTGAGTGGTCCCTAAGAGGGATAAAAATTCCTTCCAAAATGCAGACGTAAATTGCACTCCCCTATCAGAGATGATGCGTTGGGGTGCCCCGTGTAATCTGTAAATGTGCTGGATGAAAAGTTTTGCTAAGACCTTTGCAGTGGGAATCTTTTGGCAAGGGATAAAGTGCACCTGTTTGGAAAACAAGTCCGTGACCGTCCAGACCACAGTACTCCCATTGCTTTCTGGCAATTCCACTATAAAGTCCATGGCTATTTCCCTCCAGGGGGCTGAGGGATTTGCCACTGGTTGTAATAGTCCTGGTGATTTCCCTTGCAACCTCTTTGCAGACGCACATTTTGGGCAGCTGGCTACATAACTTTCTATGTCCTTTTTTATTGATGGCCACCAAAATTGCTGTTTAATTAAGTGTAAAGTTTTTACAAATCCAAAATGCCCTGCTGATTTTGTGTCATGGCAAAGCTACATGAAAGTGATTCTTTGGGTTGTTGGTATGTATAACTTTTCCCCTACCCAAGGCAACCCGCTGTGCACACATTTTTGTTTTTCTGGAACCATTCGTCTGTTTCCAGACTTTTTCTGAATTCAATCCCAGTTTGGCTGTCCAGTTGTGGTTTTAATTTAGCTTGGGTTCTTGTGGCTACTGGTGCTGCCAGTTGTGACTCTGCCATTATTGGTTTAGAGTCTGTGGCTCGTGCGCTGTTATATTGGGGCATGCGAGATAGTGCATCTGCCAGGAAGTTCTTTCTCCCTGGTAAATGTTTGAGCTTAAATTGGAACTGGTGAAAATGCTGGGACCAGCGGGCTTGTTTGGGATTGAGTTTCCTGGGTGTTTTCAGGGCTTTCAAATTTTTGTGATCAGTCCACACCTGGAAGGGGATTTTGTTGCCTTCCAGGAACTGTTGCCACGTGAGTAATGCCCTACGTATCCCATATGCCTCCTTCTCCCATACGGGCCAGCGCTGTTCTGTTTCCATGAGTTTCTTGGATGTATATGCACAGGGTTGCAATACTCCATCATCGTTTTCTTGTAATAGAACAGCCCCCACTGCCACATCATTTGCATCTGCCTATATTACGAAGGGCTTGTCCATGTTTGGGTGCCTTATTACTGGTTCGGCAGAAAAAAGTCTCTTTAGTCTCTCAAAAGCTGCTTGGCACTCCATTGTCCATGTTAGTGGCTGGTTAGGTTTTACTGAGGATGTTCCCTTCGTTTTTAGTAAGTTAGTGAGGGGCAAGGCTATCTGGGCAAATGAGGGGATGAATTGGTGGTAAAAGTTTGCAAAGCCCAGGAAACTTTGTAGTTGTTTTCTTGTGCGGGGTGGTGCCCAATCTAATACTGCTCTGACCTTCTCTGGGTCCATTTCAATGCCCTGGGGGGATATGCAATAACCTAGGTAGTCTACCCTTTCCTGGTGGAATTCGCATTTTGAGAGTTTGGCATATAGATGGGTGGCTCGCAGTTTCTTTAAAACCCCTCTGACAAGGTTGACATGTTCCTCTTTTGTTTCGGTAAAGATAAGAATGTCATCCAAGTAAACAAGGACCCCCTTAAACAGGTGCTCCCTTAGAATGTCATTGATTAATTGCATAAAGACTGCAGGGCCCCCTTGTAATCCAAATGGCAAGACTTTGAATTGATAGCATCCCATGGGGCAGTTAAATGCGGTCTTCCATTCGTTCCCTTCCTTAATTCTCACGTGATAGTATGCTTCCCTTAGGTCTAGTTTAGAAATTTTTTTCCCTTTCGAGAGGTGTGACAACATGTCTTTCATGAGGGGCAGAGGGTATAGGTTGCTTTCACTGATTGTATTCAGGGCCCTATAATCCACGCATAAGCGTAAAGAGCCATCCTTCTTCTCTCTAAAAAGGACCGGGGCAGCCACTTTAGGCTTGGCTGGCTCAATGAAACCTTCTCTACGTTTTTTTTAATGAATCTTTCCATTTCCTCCTTCTCCTTTGGGCTCATGGAGTATAATCTGGGCTTCGGGAGTTTTGCCCCAGGCTTGAATTCAATGGCACAGTCTGTGGGTCGGTGGGGGGGGGGAGCTCATTCGCCCTCTCCTCACTGAAAACTTCAGCAAGGTCTCTGTATTTCTCTGGTATTTCTGTTAGTCCCTTTTCCTCTCCCGTGGATGCTTTTTCTATTCTTGATTCTGGTAGCCCCCCTTGGGGTTTTAAGTCCATAGGGTCCCCCTTCGGGAATTTGATTTCTGTTGTCCTCCAATTTATCCAGGGGTTCCATTTTTTCAACCATTCCATCCCTAGGATCATTGGGCATTCCATGCCTGGGGTCACCACAAATGTTATGTCCTCCTCATGTTTGCCCAGGGAGAGGTGTATTGGTAGAGTGGCTAGGGTAGCGGGCACCCCCCCTGCTATGGATCCATCTAACTGGCCAAATGAGATTGGTTGTTCCAGTCTCCTCGACGGAATGCCCAGATTCCCCACTAGTGTTGGGCAAATGAGGCAGCGGGTGCAGCCAGAGTCTATTAAGTCTTTCACCTTCACAGCTTCGGGCATGGAGGGAATTAATATAGTCACTGTCTTGAAGATGGGTGCGATGCATCCACTTACCAGGGGTTCGCCCTCCAAGCTGTCATCTGAGGTGTCCACACGCCCTGCAGTGTAGGCTGGAGTTCTTTCCCCCTGATGAGCAGAGGTGGGGGGTTCCGCAATTTCCATCATTCTCATGGCAGTTTCTTTTGGCTTAGCTGAAGACTTTCCAGATTTGCTGATTGGGGATCTGTCTGGGTTG